CATAAGGCATAATGCTGTAGAGGCTATAGAGGCTTACAGAGGCCAACTCATTTCCAGAATCTTATGGAGCTTTGGTTCTCAGTGATGGTCTTTTTACTCAGCAGTGGCAGGTTGTGCTGGTCATGCTGGTAAGTTCCCTTAAACAGAAATACTATACTTACCAGACTTGTTTTGTAATTGCAAAGATATCTTTAAGTGGTGTTTCTCAAACTTTGGTGCATTTTAGAACCATCTGAGGAAGTGGTTGAAGACAGATTCCTGGACCTCTACCCTAGAGATTCTGATTCAGCAGGTTCAGATGGGGCCTGAGAATTGGCATTTCTTTTTTTTTCTTTAAAGATTTTATTTATTTATTTGACAGAGAGAGACACAGCGAGAGAGGGAACACAAGCAGAGGGAGTAGGAGAGGGAGAGGCAGGCTTCCTGCTGAGCAGGGAGCCCGATGCGGGGCTCAATCCCAGGACCCTGGGATCATAACCTGAGCCGAAGGCAGATGCTTAATGACTGAGCCACCCAGTCATCCCAGAATTGGCATTTCTAACAAACTCCCAGATGATGCTCCTGCTAGTCCATAACCTGCTCTTTGATTAGCAGCGTCTTTATGGACGTAGTGTTAGGAGTTTGCTTCATGTGCTTATTTCAGACTTGCCAACTTTCCTTTCCACCTTCAGAATTTGCTTAGAATGTCCTGGAAGCAGTTCTCTTGAAATAGTATATAACTTTTTAAATTGCTTCTTACGTGACTTAAAAGATTGCAATCCGTTTACTCAATCACTTTTCAAAAAACCCTTTACTGAATACCTGCTGTGTGTTAGATGCAGCTAATTCAAAAATGATAAAATTTTCTGGGCAGTGCAGCATTTGAATACCCCTCCTGCATTTAATGGGGACTAAAATAATTGGGATTACAGCAATGAAGAGAAGGTATATGAAACACACAGTACCTTATTGTTACATTTCTTTTATGCTATCATCTTTTCCTTCATTGTTTATGAGGCTGGCTTTCTTACTTGAATTTAAAAACAGTTATAACTTGGGGGTGCCTGGGTGGTGCAGTTGGTTAAGTGTCCGACTTGATTTCGGCTCAGGTCATGATCTCAGGGTCATGAGTTTGAGCCCCGCATCAGGCTTCACACTCAGTGGGGAGTCTGCTTGCGATTCTCTCTCCCTCTCCCTCTCCTCTGGTGTGCACTCTTTCTCTCTCAAAAATAAATAAATCTTAAAAAGAATTTAAAAATAAAAAGTTATAATTGCAGGTAGACCTGAAATAGTAAGTTTTGGGGATGGTTTTGTTTGTTTTTACTACTCCAAGCATCTGTAACCAATGTAATCTCAGCAGCATGACACTGTACAAGGTCCTGTGTGAACAGGCTGGACATACACAGGTGTCAGGCGGGCACTGATATTATAGTTAAATATATACATATAAAGGGGAATATAGAGACTAAATGCTATGTATTATATATCAGACATTCTGGTCAGAGGGAGTCTAGTGAGGAGATCTAAATGGTAAATACATTTTCTCTGGGGTAAGGATTGGAGAATGAAGAGATAAAGACTGGCCCTATGAAGTGCATAGAGGACATGTCATCCCTAGGTTGTTTTTCTGTCACATTCCTTGTTCCAGGCAGAGAGTAGACTCCATTCATAAACCTCTGTGTTTTAAGCCTCTCTCTTTCCCTTCTAGTGACTGCAGGGTGGCATGGGTCTCTGCCCAGGCTCGGAATGAGACAATAGCAAGACGGCTATGGGACGTCAGCTGTGACCTGCTGGGCATCCCTATGGACTGACAGGTGGTAGCAGGTGGACTCAAGAGAAACCTGCAGCAGACTACTCAGTACTCCCTGCCAAAATGATTCTCCTTCATAACAGCCAAAACCTTGAGCACAAAGAAAACAAACCTTCCAGCCTTTCCTGCTTGATGTCTGATAAAAGCCCAGTGTAACTGCCAGATTCATCAAAACACCTTGCATTAGTCCAGATTGATTTTGCTCTTGTTACTGCCAGACGTACAAGAGGTATCATAGGATAAGATCTTCATATGACCTGCAAACTCATATTCACCTTCTGAAACCTACTACCTAGGAGAATCTTAGCTATGGCAGGGTCAATTTATGGCAGTTTGGATTAGTTTCTACCCTCTTTGTTCACAATATAGTTCCTCCCAACCACCAACCAACTTTGATTTCAAGAGGACCATACTGCAGCCCCAGCTGAACTCCCAGAATCAACGGTGGCTTGGCTCAAGAGCAGGGCTCATCCCTCACGTATTAAGAAAACCATCATATGCCAACATCTAGATTCTCTCAGGAAACTCTTAACTGAATCTGGATTATGGAATGGGCTTTATCTTCAGCAACCTAAAGACACTTTAAGACACTTTTACATGTCAACCACAGAAGAGCTTCCTTTTCTAAGAAGTTTGTGGGGTTGGGAGGATGGCAGAAATTTGGAGGAAAGCAGAAATAAAAATCAAGTTTAAACTGTCATTTTCCTACTGTTTCTCAGGGCAGCAAGTGGGTAAAGAAAGGAGCAGTATGAGAAGATAGCTCACCTGCCTGACTTCAGTTTACTGACCCCAGACCCATGGAGGCCTTTTTGTGCCTTAGTTTCTCTTAGAAAATCCGAAGAAGGGAAAGGCTATTTGGTGATTGTCACTGAGTATATCTTTGTGTGTGTTCTTATGTAGTTATGCAATTGGGATTATTTTTACAAAATTCAAAATAGCTACAAAGGAAGAGTATTAAACTGGACCCTGGTGCAGGTAAGTGTTCAAAGATGAAGAAAAGAGTGTCATCCAATCTTTAATACAAATGAGTGGAGCTACAAAGGGAAACAGATTGTGTATATGTGGATAACTACTCACCAAGAAGCACATGGGGAGAAGGGAAGAAGTCCAAAAAAGAGAAGGATCCTGGAAGATAATGCATACAGTGAAGGGCCAGTTAAGGATTAAAAAAACAAACAAAAACAGCTAAAAATGGCAATATGTAACTATGGAAGAATTGAGGGTGAGTACCTGAGTTAGCAAGACTGATACTGCACTGTCTTAACAAGCACCAATCAATCAATGTGGCAGAAAAAGACCCCAAAAAACCCAATTCTTTATTAGGCAAAATTATCCTAAGGACTGATGTTGGTAATTTATAGTCAATTTAATAATCTTCAGGGCATTTCCTTACATTATCTTGACAAGATTAAAATGTCTATTTGCTAAAAACCTACATTTAATTTGGAGAACTCTTATCAAAGGTAATGCTGCCATAGGAAATTGGAGGAATCAGTAATGTTCCCATCACTTGTTTTGAGTATGTTATTCTAATAGTTCGTGATTATCCTGGACTGACAATTACATATTCACTTTGGTGGGGGAAAGAGTTACAGGACCACAGTCTTCTCATATTTGTAAATGCATATTCTTTTGTTGCACTTGTTTTGACTGTTAAGGTATCTAATTTAGAAATGTTCGTTTTATGGAAAAATTGGAAAGTTTTAATAATAGTTAAGTAGCATAATTGAGCTAATATTTTACTTAATTTATGTTGAACTGTCAATAACAGAAAGTTTTTGATTATTATGTTTTTATTTACCAAAATAAAAACTGTATTAAATGAAAGTTTAGAGAGTCAGCAGAAGAAAACAATTAAATGAAAGTTTAATTATAAGAAGAAAACACTTCATTATTATGGTTATACAATCATTTCTCATTTTTAAGGATAATTTGTCCCAGAGTCTAGCCACAGTACAGCCTCAATCAGATGTTATAACTTTAGTTGTGTGATAATGTGATTGTTGATTCACCCATTTTTCTACTTGTCTTTTATGATGCTGTTCAAAGATCCCTTTTTTCCATCCGAGGCTATTGTCTCCTTTTTGTACCTGCCCCTTCTATAACAATGCTGTGGGACTTATCACAGTACACTTCCACTAACAACCTCAGATTTTGCTATCTCTGTACTCAGTGAACATTAGGCGCTCAAGGCGTGTGTTGAATCAGTGGTCAATGAATCAGTCTAATAAAAATAAAGGTCCAAGAGATACAAATCACCACATCATTTCCCCCCGAGCAACCATGTATCTTGTAATATGTTTCGGCAGTTTTATATATTGGGCTGCCAAGCAAATATTTCAGAAAGGGCTTCGATAGGAAAATCATTTCATAAGTTGAAAAAGAATTTCCCGCCGCTGAGCCATGAAACCCCATGTAGTGCAGAAAAGGACTTCGTAATTGTTAACACATTACACACAGCGGGAAAAAGACCTGAAGATGCCGGGTCTGCCTTGCTCACCACATTATAAAATAACCCAGCGCAGAGTGGCTCTTTTATTCGCCAACATAGGCCCATATCCGACATGATGACTACGCGTAACATTAACAGACCTGCTGAGTGAATGAACGCACTAGGCGAGCCCAGACGCTAGAGCCTGAGTGTGTATTTTGGGAGTCACACTGGGGACCATTTCTGAAAGCATATGACCCTGGTCACTTGACTTCCCCAGTAAAAGTGCTTTACTGCTCCAGGGCAAGCTGGAACCTGGCCCGGCTATCTTTCGAGGGCTGAAAGCTAACGTTTAGTCAGGACACGAACTGAGGAAGTCAGAGCGGTCAAACAGTGCGATGACATCGAAGATGACTTCCACGCGCTTACTGACACCAAACTACAGCGTGTCAGCACTACCCACTGCGACTGTGGCACTGACAGAACCACCGCCCCCCGCCGACGCATGACTCCCGAGTCCCGGCGTCTTCCGCGCCGAACTACAGCTCCCGGCATGCACTGCAGTGTCCGTTCTCTCTCCCCCCCCCCGCCGGGAGGCGGGGCCCTGGGGACAGGTCGGTGCGCTGCCAGTCCCGCGGGTCCTCACAGTCCCTTCCGTTGTGGCTCTCTCTCCAACCCTGGACCGGGTATTTCCGGGGCTCCAGGACTGCCGCTCGTCCGGCGTCCTGCCACCCTTTCAGGAATCGCCCGGGAGGGCATCCCACCCGACTTTCCGTCAGGCTTCCGCGGCCGGCGCTCCCTCAGTGACGGAATGAAGGGGGTGGGCATTCTGGCTCGGGAGGACCCCGCCGCGGCCCCGGAAGCGCCTCGTCCCGGGCAGTGTTGGCTGCGGTCGCCGTGATGTTTGCGGGGTTGGGCGGCTGACCGCCGGGATAGGAGCGGCCCCAGTGCCCCAGATCTCGGTGGCCGCTGCTGGAGCGCGGCCTGCGCCATGGCCACCTCTGCCGCCTCCTCAGAGCATTTCGAGAAACTTCACGAGATCTTCCGCGGCCTCCATGAAGACCTGCGAGGGGTGCCGGAGCGGCTCCTGGGGATGGCAGGGACAGGTGAGGCGAGGGCGGGACGAGCCATGGGGAACTCGGCCCCGCGCGTGCCTAGGGAATAAGAGCCCCGCCCCCTAGGGTTGGGTGGGTCTCGGCGCTCAAGATTTCCCTGCTGCCACTTGAGGGTGCTCTGGGATGAACCTCTGAGTGTTGTCTCCTAGGGATTCTCCCTCTAGATCCTACTGTAGCCGTCAAAATTTTGTCTCGTTTTCACCGTGGCAAGAAGAGCATAGGAGACCTTAAATCTGAGGCCCTATATTTCAGTAAAATTGGTTTCTTTCATAACTGTCTGTATATTTTGCTTTATGCATTTAAAAGCATTATCAAGAGAAGTCATAGTTCTTACCAGACTGGCAAAGGATCTGTAGCACCAAAAAGGCTAAGAAGCCAAAGGAAAAACAACTTTGGGGTTGGTAGATTACCAGGTTTGGGGAGGGGGTGGTCTTTAAAATCGGGATGGTGAGTTTAGGTGGGGTCGTCTTATGAATTTTTTTATGCTTAAACTGTTTCCTGTCCCTTGATTTCAAAATTCAGGTTGCTGCCAGCTTTGCCTGGAGGAGTTAGTTTTCCAGTTAAATCTCTAGGAAGACCTGCCAGGTTCTTTGCCACTCAAAACAAATAGATCTTAATGTCAAGGCTGATAAGACTTTGTTTTGTTGTTTTTACTTAAAGGGTCAGAGCTTGAGTGTTTGCTCCGCGAGTTTCCTGGTCATGTGAGTTGAATGACTCTGATGAGAATGCCAGAGAATGTTAAACATATTGAGGGAGACTGCTGTGTTCCAGGCACTGTCCTAAATGCTGGTAATATTGCAGATTATTGCAGTAAGGAGACTTACAAATCCTTGTTGTAGTCGATTGATGATGTATAAATATTAAGAGGAAAGTAATGCAGGGCAAAGGAATGCAAGGGAGGACACTAATATTAAATAGGGTGGCTGTGAAAGGCTTCTTTGAGAAGGTGGCATTTGAGCAAAGACTTGGATGAATTAAGAGAGTAAACCATGTGAAAATTTGGGAGAAGTGAGTCTGAGGAGGACAGAATAGCATTGCAAAGGCCCTTAAGCAGGTATGAACTTGGTAAGTTCTAGAAAGAGCAAGAAGGCCAGTGTGAAATGAGCAAAGGAGACAGTGGTAGCAGATGAGGCTACAGAGAGGTAGGCAGGACCAGATCACGTGTGGACTTATAGACTCTAGTGAAAGATTCGCACTTTTTTCTAAATGTGATGGGATGCACTTAACAGGGTATTAAATTTTTTTTTAATTTATTCATTTGATAGAGATACAGAGAGCATGAGCAGGGAGAGAGGAGAGTGAGAGGGAGAAGTGGACTCCCCGCTGATCCGGGAGCCCGACGTGGGGCTCGATCCCAGAACCCTGGGATTGGATCATGACCTACCTGAGCCAAAGGCAGACACTTAACCATCTGAGCCACCCAGGCGCCCCACTTAACAGGGTATTGAGCAAGAGAGTGATGGGATTTGATTTACATGGTTGAAAATTAGACTGTTTTTTCAGCTCGTTGCTGAATTAAATTTTGCAGTGTTCATTAGTGGAAGAGTAAATAGTGCAAAAGTGTATTCCATTTTGAAAAATAGAAAACTGAGTTATATTCACTTTTATCGCCTACCTGACCTTCTCATTGCTGCAATGAGGTATGAATATCTACCCAAGCGCAAAATACTCTTAATACAAGTTGCTGGAAACAGACTTTGTTGTTTAACGCATAAGTAAATACATTGTACACATAGCCATAGGTTACAATAAGAATTTCAACAGCTCTGGGGCACCTGGGTGGCTCAGTTGGTTAAGAGACTGCCTCTCAGGTCATGATCCCGGAGTCCCAGGATCGAGTCCCGCATTGGGCTCCCTGCTCAGCAGGGAGTCTGCTTCTCCCTCTGACCCTACCCCCTCTTGGGCTCTCTCTCTCTCTCTCTCTCTCACTCTCTCTCTCAAATAAATAAATAAAATCTTAAAAAAAAAAAAGAATTTCAACAGCTTTCAATCTCTGCTTACTACTTTGTTAATACTGTTCAATAAATATTTGTTGAATAAATTGAATTTAGCTGAGCGAACATACAGTGCATCTCTGAATCCTTTTTTTCTAATTCTGAGATTACTTCATACACTTTCCAGAATTTTAATTTCCATCATGAATTATTAGGTTCTGAGTAATGTACATAACACAGCTCTTGCATTTAGCTTATGTTCTGTAATTGAGCCAATCAGTTTTTAATAAATATTTAAGAATTATTATGTATCAGTCACTGTCCTGGGCCCTGAGGAGTTTCAAGAGTTCTTGCCTTAAATGGGACCAAATTTACAACAAAGTTTGTGATTGGTCCTAAGATAGTTTTGAGACCATAAAGAAAAGGCTTACTTGGGTGTTAGGGGAGGGATGTTTTGCAGAAAGGAGAACTGAGCATAAGGGGTTCAGTGGGAGTTTGCCAGACAGGGGAAATGGGAAGAAGGAACAACAGAATAGAAAGTTGAATACTTACAACCATGACTGGAGCTTAGGGTGTGTGTGGGAGCATAATAGTAGATGAGCCAAGTGAGACACAGCCAGATTGTGAAGGGACCTGTATATCTCATTAAGACATTTGGGCTTCTCACAAAGTACTTGACATATAAGAACAAAAAGTTTGTTTATCTGTCAAATATTTATTGAGCACCTATTATGCAGCATTGCCTGAGCTAGGCGCAGAAATACAGTAGTCAAAGACACAGACAGTCTTTGCTCCTATGAAATGTACAGTGCAGAAGAGAAAACTTAAAGCAAATATTTGTTTAACTTTAATTCATCAAATATTGACTGAATATTTACTGTAGGTCAAAAGCAAATAATTACCCAAGTATCTTTCTGATTATAATTGTGATCATTGTTCTGGATAAACAGAGTACCTTTATGAAAAAAAAGACATTTGGGCTTGATACGAAGAATCAGTAAAGAATTTTAAGCAGCTAACTAATATGGTCAGATTTTATTTTACAAGGAGAATGCTGGTGGCTGAATAGAGGATGAAGGAGAGGCATAAGACTCTGGACATAGTGGACCATGTTAGAAGCCTTTGTGGCAATTGTCTGGGTAACATGGGAATGTAGAGAGTCCCAAGTCCAATTTCTAAGGCAGAAATTAACCAGACTGATTGGACATGGGGAGTAAGAGAAAAAGATTCAAGGGTGTCTGCATTTTCTCACTTGGTCATTTGAGTGGATGATAAACTTAAATAAGAAATATAAAAGAAACGGGCTTATTTGGGTTGTAGATGAAAGCATCAGGGTGCTTATAGAGTAGAGAGCATAATGTATATCCAGTCTAGCCTGACAAAGTATTTCTTCTCTTGCCATTAAAAATACCATTTATGAAGAAGATATTGTGTGAATTGAGAGGCAATATAATATTTAACAGCAAGGATTCTAGAAATAGACTGCCTGGGTTCAAATCCTGGATCCATCTCTTAGTAGCTATGTGACCTTGGACAACTTACTTCAACCTAACTAGTTTCTCTCTGCAAAATGAAGGTAAATCATAGTATTTATTTCATAGGGGTTTTGTGAGGATTAAATTAGTTAATATATGTAAAGCCCTTAGAATACTGCCTGACAAGAGCCATTTGCCATTGTTACTCTTCTTTGGGAAATTGGATATTTTATTTAAATAAAACATAATACCCCCTGTGCAGCTATTATGTTGCTCTACTTCTGCTTTTTTCCTAGAGCACTTATCTTCTAACATACTAGACACTTTATGTATTTCTGGTGTTTATAATATATTATTTGTCTGCCTTTCACTAGAACAGTGGTTTTCAAAGTGTGATCCCTGAAACACTAGCATCAGGAACTCTAGAAACGCAAATTATTGGGTCCCACCAAAGGTTTACTGAATTATTAACTGTTTTAACATCCATCCAGGGGATTTCTGATTCATGTCAAGTTTGAAAGCAACTGAGCAAAAACCAAGCTCTATGTTTTCTCCACATCCTTGTTAGCACTTGTTATTTCTTGTCTTTTAATAATAGCTATCCTCTAACAGGTATGAGGTAGTATCTCATTGTGATTTGATTTGCATTTCCCTGATGATTGTGATGTTGAGTACCTTTTTTTGTACTGTTGGCCATCTGTATTACTTCTTTGGAAAAAATGTTTATACAGATCTTCCACCCATTTTTTAATCAGATTGTTTGGGGTTTTTTTCTCTGGAGTTGTATGAATTATTTATATATTTTGGATATTAATCCATTATCAGATATATGATTTGCAAATCTTTTCTCCCATTTGGTAAATTGCCTTTTTATTTTGTTGTTGGTTTCCTCTGCTGTGCAGAAGCTTTTTAGTTTGGTGTAGTCCCACTTGTTTATTTTTGCTTTTGTTACCTTTTGGTTGTCAAATCTAAAAAATCATCACCAAGACTGATGTCAAGGAACTCTTGTGTTTTCTTCTAGGAGTTTTATGGTTTCAGGTCTTACAGTCAAGTCTTAGGTCCATTTTGAGTTAATTTTTGTATATGTTGTAAGATAGTGATCCATTTCTAATCTTTTGCATTTTTCTGTAAAGTTTTCTCAAAACTGTTTATTGAAGAGATTGTCTTTTCTGTGAGGTAACAGAAATATATATAGATGTATTGGTCTCTGTCCCTGGTTCTTGCACAGAGCTCCTAAGATCCTTGTAATTTCCTAAGTGATAAGAACACTAGGAGCATCTTTTGTTCTAATGAGATGACTCTGAATGGCCTCCTAGATGGGGACTGGTCACCAGAACAACCCGTGATTAGAAGCTTGGATTTTCAGCCCTATCCCTTGTCCTCCAGGGAGGGAAGAGGAGGTGAAAATGGAGCTACTAATTGATCATGCCTTTGTGAGGAAGCCCTCATAAAATCCCAGTAGTATATGGGGTTCAGGGAGCTTCCAGGGTGATGAACATACCCATACCTGGAGGGTGATGCACCCCAACTCCACAGGAACAGAAGCTCCTGCACTCAGGACCCTCCCAGACCTCACCCTGTG